GTCATCATCATCATTGTTATTATTATTATTACTATTAGTAGTAGTATTATTAAACAAACATTTAAAGAAACTTGCAAAAGGATAAAATCGAAATTGAACCACAGTATCGCATTTCTATCTTAAAAGACCTGGCCTGAGATTTATGGATTTAAAATTTTTTAATCACGCTTAGGCCTATGTGTTCTATTATGCCTATGTATAACGTGTACTGATGCATTTTTACATGTTTAGAAGTATTCATTTTGAGTGATCCCAGGAAAGAATTTGTATTGGCTCAAGAATAAGCTTTAAAATTTAAACACTGTGTACAAAGGGGGGGAGCCGCGGCTCCCACGGCTCCCCCCTGGATACGTCCCTGGTTCAATCCATTTCACTATGGATAATATTGAGCTCCTTGTGCCTCTAAATAATAAATATTTTTGGTGATCCGCTTCACGAAAATTTGCCAAAATCATGCCTATTTTCAATCAGTTATAGCTTCTTAGGATGAAAGATAACCCCCCCCCCCATTTTTATTACTTATTATTCTTAAAGCACATGATTTGTAGATATGATTTTATAGATCATAATGGCTGATTGGACATTGTGACGTCATCACATTGCCATATGAAATTAAAAAAACTTAATTTTTATCTATGACATCATTTGCCCCATTTGAATAAGTGCCCTTCCTAATGTGAAAATTTCCTTAAGCTCCCAGTTTGAATAACCTCCCCCTTCTACTTTTCCGCCGAACCACCATTCGTAATATGCGGTATCCTGATGTCCTTATATAATTGTTTTTCATTCAAAATGTGCCTCTTGAATTTAATAAGTTCTCATAAGAACCCCTCGATTTTCATCTATTTCCATAAGCACCCCCTCAGTTTCCTCTCTGTTTTGAACGCCCCGTTCGAATAAGCGCCCCGTTCAAATAAGCGGCCCACAAAAAGTGCAAAAAATATTTTCAGGGCCCAGACGCTTATTCGCGTGAGTACGGTACTCATTCGAGCGTATCTCACTTATCTTTAATCGATCGTCTCATAACTTTGAGTATGTTATAGCTGAGACAATTCTCCTTAAAAATGTGACTTTTTTACATTTTGATGAATCATGGTCAAAATAAATGCTTTTTCTGACCACCCCCCCCCCAGAGACAGCCCCCCCACCTCTACTTTCTTTTCTCAAGACTTTGAAGACCCCATATCATCATATCCAATGAACATTTCTAATCATATTTAATGGGCATAAAACTTCAGGTCAAGGATTAATGTCATGTACCTTAATTTTCCGTGTGTGCATCATAACGTGCACGTACTGTACATGTGCATTAACATTTTTCATGCCTATTTTAAATCAGTAATATCACGTTAGGATGAAGGTGACCCCCAATTTTTATTACATACACGAGTCGTAGATATGATTTTATAGCTCATTATGGCTGATTGGACATTGTGACGTTATCATATTGCCATCTGAATACAAAACAAGAGCGACCGCTCACATGGTCCCACTGATCTCTACTATAATAGCTGGATTGCTCGTTGACTGGTTTTAGTGTGTCTACCACTTTGGGAGGCCTAAGTGACGTATCAGCTTAGAAAAGTTTCTTTCAGCATTTTTTTAAATTATTGTTAAAAATAATGATTCTTGCAAAACTTTTTAATAATAAATTTGAATTTAATGTAATGATTATTTTTCAAATCATCTATCTACTTGATGTAACTTTTTATGTAGTTTAAAAAAAGCACAAGCAAAGTTATTTGCATTGTTAGGGAACGACGTCACTATAACAACGCGACTTACCTTGTGCTTTTGAAAACTGCATAAACAGTCGCATCTAATGGTTAGATGGTTTGAAAAAAGAATCCTAAGATAAATTTAAATTCATTATTGAAAAGTATTGCAAGAATCTTTATTTTTAACTATAATTTTAAACAAATGTCTAAAGAAACTTTTCTAAACTGGTACGTCACTTAGGCCCTCCAACATGGCGTCGGTGGCTTCACTTTATTCTGTACCAGGATTGGCCGATGAGCAATCCAGGTATTATAGAAGAGATCAGTGCATGGTCCGCGCGTTCCTCCATGCTTAAATAGGGTACAGGCGCAAGTTATTATATTTGGTTTTTTGGAAGAGCTAATAAGATAGAAATTTTTAAATAAATAGAATGTTTATTTGTACAAAAAAAAAACATTATTTTGAATTAAAAATTAAGATACATAAAATTGATAAAAAATAACTTCTTAAAATTTAAAAAAAAAATATTGAATATTTATATGCGATTCGAACCCACGCTTCTTCAGAACGCATGCTTAACTGCACCATTCATTCACGTGACATGCGTTATTAGCTGTTCACAGAGACAAACAGTCTCTAAATTTGATTTACTTATCTTTTCCATTTTTTGGGTTTTCCTTACGCCATATATCGGTTAGATCTATGCTATTAATGATGTTTTTACCATGATTCTTATCCAACAATTCATATCCCAACCTAGTATACATTTTTTTCATTTTCAACATCAGTGAATAATTTTTGTCATAGATCTCAAACAAAAATTTCTGAATTTAATACAATATGTTGCATCATAAACAAAAACATATGGCATACTAGTTAATTAGCCAACAGATATATGGAATAAGGTTAATAAAAATACCATGGTTTTTACATTATCAAATCAAATAGAATATAGATACTAATAGATCAATCAGCAAGATATATAAGACTTACTTTAAGAAATGTATTAGAGCAGAAACAAAATAATCACAAACATCACACTTACTACACTTTGAATATCCTTGTTTGCTCCTGATTCAATTAGAATTTTGCAAACATCAGTTTGACCATAGAAAGCACTTCTGTACAATGCCGTTGACCCATACTACAAATTATAGCAATATACATAAAAATGGAGAAAAGTGAGCACGTTTTCTTTATAATCACTTAGCACTCCTATGGTATCTAATACAGATGGAAGTAATACAAGTACACTATAAATACATTCAACGTCATAGGCCCTATTTCAAAAAATATAAAATAGCACTCCCAACACAAGGTATATAATATGAAATCTCTATACCCATACTTGGGAATATCACACACATTTTTCACATATAAAATTTGATAGTGTGGACTGAATTTTAAACAAATGTGAATATTCAATGATTTGTATTATTATAAGTCTCCGACAATGGCTTTGCCAAAATGTGTATCATAATGTGATGGATATTTATAGAAATGTAAGCGAACATACAAGTAGTTGTGTTGCCCTCCCGACCGACCGAAAATTTCCCAACAAATCGTGTCGGCATTTTCTATTTATTTATTTATTTATTTTAATTTTGTTTAAAGATGTCAAAGGTGAAGGTCTTCTTTCCTTTCATTGACATTCATTGTTCAATCAAGTACAAATTCGAGAAAATCCAAAATTAACATTAGGCCCTGAACATAAAATCTAAAAACAGAAATATTTTTACCAAAATCTGGCCATATAGCTGCATGCGCAAAATCGGTAAAATTGAAGGTATGATTTTGAAAACCGAGAGACCTGACGACGACAATGTATGCACAATGTATGCACGAAACATCAGATCTCTCGCCGCGCTGAGCTGTCAAGCCAGGACCAGAGTTCTAAGCCTAGGCCCTAGCCTGTTCTTTACTACTGATGTACAAATTAGCAAGTGGTTGCTTGTGTAGTAATTATCGCCTATATACTGTGATAATTAAAGGTACCGAGTGGTGCTTACCTTTATCCAATAGGATGTATTCCTAGGGCGACAATACTCCAATAATAAATCAGTCACAGCAGCACTCCAATATGCAGTACGGTAGTACTCCTGTGTAGACCCGGACACATAAACCAATTCTATAGCGTTAGCTGATGCGTCTTGCATTAAGTCCAGTGTACGAGTGACTAATCTCACCAGGTTCCCCTGGTCGGCTGTGCAGCACACCCGGCTGTGGGTTATGCAGATGAGCTGACCTTGAGGTCATGTCCTCCTGCGTAGATCGGGGATACGAACGTACGGGGGTCGTCACTACACTCCTCCTTCGTTTGCTCACCTGTCTCTTATACACATCTAGATGTGTATAAGAGACAGGGAATTGGCTGATCGAATGCTATAGCTTCCATAGGTTTCTCTATGGGAAGACAAGAAGAACTGGAAGTCCCTCAACTTCAGTCGGCAAAGAGTAATATAGTTAAGTTTCAGTAGAGCCATCAGTGGAAAAATCAGCTGATGGGATACGACGACTACCCAATAAGTTTAAGTTTCAGTAGAGCCATCAGTGGAAAAATCAACTGATGGGATACGACGACTACCCAATAATTCTCATCCACTATTCTTGAGAGGAAGGCCATCAGACTTGATGACCAACCGTGGATACTCTCCAAAACCCTACCCAGGA